TTTATCTCTGATCGATAGGCGCATGCACATTTTGACGTCAAATGACACTGTCTCCGATTTCTTGCATGAGTGTGACTTCCTCGCAAGGATTATCCAATAAGTGAACAGAGCCATGAACGCGTCACACTAGGTGCAACGATATTTGTTGAGTGCGACATTTCAGGGTAGATGGTCAGTGGTTGTCCCGAACATCGGTCAACGACTAAGTGAGCGCGTATCAGGAACTGCGACATACTGAGTGGTGTGACATAGCAGGATATTGACTGTATAGTGATGTCAAAATGGTTTATATGACAAAGAGCATAATCTAGATCAGGGAGTGTGACGTGATATTACCGTGCCCCTTTGGTACGTGGCCTCACAGGTCCACTTTATACCGGAATCTCTCAAACGTTTACGCGGTTTTGGCACATTACAAAATGAGTATTCAACGAGCCACACATTTCAAGATCGTCTTTTAACGGTCAAATTTCACGTTTATTCAAATATATTTGTAATTCATACCGAGATAATTTGAATGAGCTGTAATTATCTACATCATTTAGTGATATATTTAGGTTGAAATGTATGAAAAGGATACGTTATTTAGGATACTTGTTTTGACCAAAATAAACATCCCCATGAAATAATATTCATTTAAATCACGGAATATTCCCATTGATTAATAACACAATGTGGGCATTTTGTTTCTTATATTCATTTACTAGAAATAAAGAACCTCTTTGCTGTTCTTCACCAAATATTTTAGAATTCTGAGCCGAAGTTTTCATATTATTAGAAAGCTTATCATGACACCCAAGATCATATTAATTCAAATAATGATAGCAGAGAATTAGGAATTTCGAGACCGGAGACAAATTTGGGATTAAATGCGCTATCGATACGCAAGTCTGATGTAAGAAACGAAATTCGCAAATGAGGAATTCTTGTTTAAAATGAAAACTATTGACAAAATTAGTAAATAATTATGTCAGTTAAATGATGAGTGACACCGTCCTGATTGCGTCAAATAATTATAGCAATAAGGAGAATAACGTCGTTTTCCGAACGCTAATGTCTACTCATGAGTAGCGTAAGCCACACTACAGAAATTTTAAGCTGCAGCAATAACCCTTGGAATTGTTACGTCAGTATAGGTGAGACCAAAATTTTGGTTTTGAGTTGGTAATGGACTGCGTGCAGACTAATTCCCATGATCAGTAAGAAATTCATAAGCTAGGAAGTCCGAACATTGTCATGCGTAATACATTGTGACATGGATACAATTAACCCAAGCGTTATACTCACTTATACACTCATGACCATCACTCTACACCAGTTCCAACTATTCAAAATATCCTTTTTTTCGAAAAGCAGCTTACATGTTGACATCTTAGGTAATAATTCCAATGTGAAAATCAAGTAGCGAGACCACTGGTTGTGGTTGCACCTTGGTTGAAAGTGTATACTGGCCTCATCCCACCGAACTGGTAGTTCACGTTTTTTCCATAACATATTTGATTGATCTTTTTATCCATGCGATTGGAGACAAAAATCATTCATTTTCTTAGAAAACAACGCCGATGTGAAACAATCTTCACTGCTTGCAGTTTGTGAAGAAATATCGCAGGAATAAGATGAGCGCGCCCATATTGTTTTCTTTCGTCCTCTTCCGTCATCATTAGCGTCGAAAACAATTCAGTTCTTTTGTTCAAATATAATTGGTTAGCTAGGTAAAGCTTCCAATATTTGCTCATCACAAGCGCCAGTACGAATTGACTGCCAAATAGAAAAAAATCACTGTGGCTGAGTAGACTACAAACTAGACAATGAGGTAAACGGAAGACCGAATAATGTCTGAATTGAAGTACTCGATAAAGACTGAACAAAATTGACAAAAAATAGTTCACTTTTCACGCATTGTGACCAAGAAAGTAAGCTAGCAAAAAATAATGATGAAAACACCACTTTCTGTTCGCAAAAATAGCAGAAAGTTAGGCATGCAGAAATATCATACAGGGAGATTAGTTGGTGAAACCATAGTACGCAACAATTTCATGCAAAAATCTCGCTTGGAGCCGTTCAATCGGAATCGATAAATTCACCTTGGAGACACCAAACCAATTCGGATTAAAACTGTGCCTGTGGAAAAAGGACATATCAAGTTACGTTCACTATGCCATGAAATAGTACCCCGTCATCCAAACTCACGGATCTGGTGAACACTTTATTGGACCATGGAAATGGAGTTCTAGGAAGTAAAACCACGGTCATCGATACCGAACAAAATCTCTTCGCCACAATTAAAATAACCCGGTGATGCTTTCCTCGACGGTATGGATCTTCTATCGTTTATCCCATAAAAATTATCCTATAACTGTGAGTACCATCTGCGTCTGAAGCCTAATTGACATTCTCTACTTTCATATATCGAACGTTAATCGTTCTGATTTGTAGATAAAGCAACATATGCCATCTGTCAGAAGAATGCAACAAAACAAGCTTCGGCAACAAAATTTTAATTGTGGCGTTTTTGTTCTCAGTTTCTGACATGAAATGGTCGCAAAAATACAAGCTATTCACAAGTGCGAAGAGAAGAAGTGATAAATAATCAGGTTACGCGTACACAAGCACTATCGCTTGGGGCAGTTAATACACTCGCGAGACGGAACTGGGAGATAATGAATTGGGAAACATGATACGAGCGTGATTGCACATGCGGGATGAGAAACAGAAACGAACCCAGTGTATGCGGTAGCCAAAGCTTTGAGTGAAAAGGTCTGGAGAGAGAGAGAAACACTAGGTCGTACTGGGTCAGGATTAGGAAGAATAAGTGTACCCAAACGAATGAGGACGGGGTGAGTGAATATGCAGCCCGAAGGAAGAAGGGGCAATGTTGACTCAGGGTTGAATGGCGCTTGGTAGAGATGGAAGAGCTGGTGGTGGAAGAAAATTTAAATCTCATAACAGGTTAATAGAGTTTTTCGTGATAGAATAATGAACCAAAGAAACAATGACTATTCACTGTTGATTATCAAGTGGAGGCCTCTGTGTGTGTTTATATGCAAATATCGGTCAGTCAAACTGCATACTCTGATAAAGGATCGATCACAATGGCGGACGATTGGAATCGTTCCGCACCGACTGACGATCCCAGAGTTGAGGACTGTACGGTTTCGAGGCGGCCAGTTGTGAGCGCGAGAGAAATGTGGGATTCGAAGACGGAACACCTTCAATCTGCGTACAACAGGCCAATTTTCGTGCCAGTGCTTCTAATTGCATCGAGCTAGTTACACCTCGGTCAGGGGCTTCGTGTCCCGATTGAGTCGGTGTTAATGTTAGGGGATTAGGTTTCATCCCGTGGCTTTCCAAACCCGACCGACCGGGTTGACTAACACACGGAAGTCGATCGGAACCTGGATCATCGACCGTTTTGGACTGAGCTGATGGTTTCAGTTTGGTTCGTAACGGACCAACTCCAGTGGCGCCACTGACACAACTGGTAGGGGTAGGTGAACTTGTCAAGTCCGGACTACCGAATGGTTGTTTACGTGACTTCTTTCCCCGCCTATTACCAAATCGAAGCATGCCAGCTAGAGTGGATTTGGCTGAAGACGTTTTTGACTCTTGCGGAGGAGTGGGATTCGAACTGGTATGGAATGAAACCTCACGTGAGACGGAACGTTCGTCGTTGTGTCGTTTCTGTTCAGCTTGAGCAACCAAACTGACGGAAGCTGTCCCGGATGTACCTGAACTGACAAGTCCGCTGCTGCTGGGGTTTGTTGCGTGCTGAGGTAGTGGGGGTGGTTCGTCTCTATGACGGGGTGTTTGGGACCGATCTTTTGTGATAGGGCCAGCTGAGGATACGACACAGGTTGATTTGATTGCCCGAGTTCCACCTGATGCGTTTGTAGGGAACACAGAACCAGTTACAGGTGTCAGAGGTTCCCCGCGAGTATTCTCCACGGGGACTTGGTGAAACTGATGTGGTAGCAAATCCGGATATGCAGTCACGTCTTGGTGCACACGACTGGAAGCGTGTCGAGTGGGTTCCTCGCGCAGATTTTGATGCTTGGATGCTGTGGCACCCAGGCGATCTGGAAGGTCATTGCCAGATTCACGCCCATCTGGTCGAGTAGAGCGATGTTGTGCAACGGCTAATGATATATGTAATCAGAACACAGAAAATTGAGATCAGGAATGGAATGAAGGAACAACAAAAGAAAATGCAAATGATACATCTAGCTAAAAATTTCCATTTAACTGTATTCTAAAGGATCTTTGTTGATTCGATTTTAGCTCCTACGTAATTCTTTATTTCGTCAACATATTGAATCATTGAACATCTAAACATAACAATTGTTTCTAAAAGACTGCAATACCAGACTAGTTACAAAAGCAGGTTTTATAAAAGATCTTAAAAACAAAACCCCTAGTCAACAGTACAAAAACAGTTCCTGGGGTAACTACTATGCAACGGAGACCAGTTGTTTACTTTTGTAGGTTAGAATTCGAAAACGGCCCTAAAACGAATAAATAAGACAGCCCAGTTGCCAGTAGAACGAACCACGAAGGTATGAATGCTCCATAAACAATCTGGTAGGTAGAGTATCTGAAAATGCCTGTGTCAAAGTGAAATCTAAACTGTATGAAGCTACACAATTCGATAGAGCAGAAGAAAGCAGGATACTGGGTGTCCCTAGATGGCAGACACCTCACGATAACGAGTAATCATGTTGGCCTGACCTAATCGGTCGAATTCATGTTACGTAGTTACCCAAAACTACCCGTATTTCATAAAGCCAATTTAGCAAAGCACATAGACCAGTATTGTGCACACCAAAGCAACTAACTCATAACTTCAACCTGCCTTGGCGTGTAATGCCTTCATCTTCCTAAATTCAACTGTATCAAACCCTACACAAGTTACTGAATAACGTCAAACTCACCTCGATGATTTGGCTCTTTTGACTGTTGTTGATGGTGGTGGTGCTGTGATTGTTTGACACGATGAGATTCTACGGGAGTTCTTCCGTCAGCATTAACCGCCTGATTTTGCAGAATTCTTGATCCCGGATGTAGTGACCCAGGCGCACGTACAGGTAACGACTCACCCACTTCACTGTGATGTGCGGTCACATGAGGTGGTAAATGTCCTGTAGGACCATGGGGCGTTCCGTGGTCTATTGGTCGGTGATAAGCATTTGCGTGTACCGAATCATAACCCGGTGGTTCGGATTTTCCCGGATAGTGTCCCAGAGGAATGAACCCACCCGAGTGGAGATCGGATGTCTGAATGAAAGTGGGAGGGAAACCAGCGGAGGAGCTGTATTGCCATGGTCCATGTTGCCCCGTAGTCGGATGCATCACATCTGCATGCACGAATGCCTCTGGGTGTAAAAATGATGCTGGATTGCCACTGGAATTCACATGGGGGCCGGGGGGTTGGAAGCGCATGGATGGGAGGATCTTGTGAACTTCCGAATGACAACTGTTATCTGATGACGGTTGTTGAAAGCGCTGCGCAGCCAGTGGACCTGGTGGTCGGGCATAAGGGTTCGTGTCATCTCCGTAATCTGAAGGAATGATGTAAAACGACACGACTGAGATGATCACAAAATTAGTGAATACTGATGTGTTTACAAACAAAAAACCATATTGTTTTCGGAAGACATCATGGAAAGAAACAGAAGCAAAAATATCTGAGAAAACTGAAACAAGCCTTTCCCGAGATTAATTTGAAAAGAAAAGACCATATTGCAATACGGCACGATTTATGTCCAGGACGATTTCGCTGCGTCTCAACATGGTGCATACTGCAGAAAATACAATGTTTATATAGGGTTTTAGCATAGCAACAGAGTGAGGCAAAATACATTAAAAA